AAGACAATATTAAAAAAAAAATCTTTTCAGGCACACAATTGATAGAAAGGAGTAGAAAATACAAGGTCTTTCTGTTCATCATTTGACTATGAAAAAGCATTTTATTTGGTAGCACAAAATATCACCTTTAAGGTTGTCTTCCAACCAGATGTCTCCCACACGTATATCAAAATCATACAAGCTTCAAAATTCTTTTATAGGGAATGGCTCTCTGGGAGAGGGGAGAAGGGAAAAGACAGGTATACAGGAAAAATTCAGACAACGTAAAAATAAAAGATCAATAAATTTTTTTAAATCATGCAAGAAGCCTTGAAATCTGAAAGAATGGAAATAACTTTGTTCAAAAACCCTCTGATTACAAATATTAAGTAGACCAAAAAACTGGGAGACCAATGCTCATCAGCAAGGGTTTGCCATCATGGGACACGTCTATTACAGAGTCCAAATCACAAGATTCTCTATACTGAGGCAATGTCATCCAGATGCTCTTGTTTGCAGAGGACACTTATTTCAAGGCTCAGAATGTAAAAAATCATTCTGGGCCAAGCATACCTCAGGAGAGGGCAATGATTCAGATGCAAGTTTAAAATGCAACAAGACAATCCTGTACAATAAAGTGTAATAAAAGTGATTTTACTATTAAAAAGATAAAAAGGATGCAATTTAAGTTTAAAAAAAAAAAGGACAGTAATCCAAATAAAATGGATACTCTCTTCTACCTCCATATTCACCACAGCAAATAGTCATGCTAGATCTAATAAGACATAGCCATGAAGCAATGGAATTTCCACTAAAACCTTAAATAAATTATTCCCTATAGGTTGGGCCTTTTATGCCTCAAAGGCAAGGAAGTCAAAGCAATGATGCTAATAATGGCCTCCCCACTGCCTTATGATGCAACCATTCCTACCTATATAAAACAGATGGTATTCCTACTACAAGGTTCACAATTACCCAAAAGTTTTTAAAAGCCTATTATCCACCCAACTGTATACCATAATTTGGACAATCTATAGAATTGGTCCATCAGTTCATATATTTTTAATAGACACTGCAAATGGACAATTTGCTGGGCCCAAAGATAAGCAGGTGGGGAAGAGCAGGTCTGAGGAACTTTGAGACATTTTCCAGTGCTTTTAACACAGAAAATTGGAGATTAGGTGGTCAATGATCCCACAACATCATAATTACTCTGATACTTTAGTGCAGCTGTGATTTTCTTGATATAAGTATTCCTTGCAATGAGGACGACTGTGGTTTCCCATCCTGTTTGACTCCTGTCCCTACTCTCCTGTAAATGCTTTGGAGGATCCAGTAAAGATGCCAGGGACCTACCTCTATACCCAAGTTTCTCATCTTTTTAACAATACCATTCTTCTGGTGATACTACAAGGCTGAGAGCCAAGGAATATGATAGCTTTGTTGAATGTCAACCAAAAGGTAACAGAAAGGCATGTGGTAGGCATGAACAGGCTGTAACATATCACCAATGAAGAAATATATGACTGAAAAAACAAAAAAAAGCTGGGCCCCACAAAAGCAAGAGGTAGACACATGGGCTGTGTGTTCTTCTGGTATCAACATCAAGAAATAGACCATTGTTGAGAGCAGGCAATGTCTTATGACTTTCTTTGTATCTCCAGTGCTGAGCAGAGTGCCTGGCACATGGTAACTACTTAATAAATGTTTATTGACTATGACTTTGAGAGATAGGTTCCTAACACATTTAGCAGACTCTTTGAAGGATTTACAAAAGAACATGGACAAGAGTCAACCAGGATAAGAAGACATGAACGAGCTGCTACTTCATTACTGGAAGAAATTTCCATATCAAGGAAATCACAGATCCACTAAAGCTGGGGGGTGGGGGAATTGTATGTGGTGGACCCCTTTTGTCAGTGCAGTGAAACCTGAAGACTCCTTAGAAAAATGCTTCATTGCCTGCATTCAAAATCACAAACAACAAGCATTTATTAAAGCACATACTACATGCCAGGCACTGTAGGATACAAAGAAAGACAAAAGATAGTCCATGTTCTCATGGAGTTCATAGATGAGTAGGAGAGGCAACATGCAAAAAACTATGTAGAAACAAGCTGTATACAATATAAATTAGAGATGATCAACATTGGGATAGTTCTAGCAGGCAGGGAAACCAACCCTCTTGCAGGAGGTGGGATTTAAGGTAAGTCTTGAAGGAAGCCAGAAGGGAGATTGTTCATCCGAGACAGTCAATGAAAAGCACAAAATTGGAAGACAGAGTGCCATGTGTGAGAAACAGCAAGAAAAGCAGTATCGCTAGACTGCAGAGTATGAAGAAGAGAATGAAATGTAAGAGGACTGGAAAGACAGAGAAGAACGAGGTTGTGAACAGCTTTAAAAGCCAATGAAAGGATTTTATATTTGTTCTTGGGGATAATGCAGAACCGAGTAAGGTGGAAGAGGGTAATATAGGCAGACCAGCACATTAGGAACATTCATTTGACTGAATGTAAGGTGACCTGGCATGGAGAGAGACTTGAGGCAAGCAGACCCATCAGCAGGCTCCTGCAGTGGTTCAGGTGCGAGGTGGTGAGGCCCTACACCAGAGTGGTAGCTGTATGCATGGAGAGAAGCAGACACATATGAAAGATGTTAGGAAGGCAGAAACAACCAGGTGAGGTAATGAATTAGACAGGCAAGATGAATGAGAAGTTAAGGATAATGCTAAGGTTGCAAGTCTGGTGATAGAGACAGGAGCGATGACTGTAACAGTAATAGATGTGTTTGGAAGAGAGGAATGGAGATAAGTTCCATTTTAGACATGTTGGGTTTGAGATGTCTACTGTATATCTAGTTCAAAATGTCAAATGGGCAACTGGTCTGTGATTTCTGTGAAATCTGTGATTTCCTTGATTCCCTAAATCTGTGAATACCTTGGAAGGGTACTCCTTCCAACATGTGAGACTAGAGCCGAGGAGAAAGCTTGGAGCTGGATACATAGACCTGACGATCATCTCCATAGAGATAATTAAACCCACAGAAGTTGATGAGATTCCACAAGAGAAAGGAAGAAGAATCCTAGGACGATATCTTGGGAGGGGGGGATACCAAGGGTTAGTGGGCAAGACCTGGATGAAGTCCAGCAAAATAGACTAAAATTAGATGAGATAAGTAGGAAGAGAACTAGGAGACAATGTCATGACAACTCAGAGAGAAGAGAGAATAACCAGAAGAAGAGTGTGATCAAGAGTGTCAAAGGTTGCAGATGGTTTAGAAGGATGAGGATTGAAGAAGTCATTGAATTTGACAATTATGAGCTCATTGGTAACTTTGGAAAAAGCACTTTCGGTTGAATGATGATGTCAGAAGCCTGAGTGCAGAGGAAATTGAGGCACTAATTGTAAATGGCTTTCTCAAAGAGTTAAGCCATGAAAGGAAGGAGAGATATAAGATGACAATCAGTGGGAATGGTTGGATCAAATGAGAGTTTTTTTATGGATGGCGAGACATTGTAGAAGCAAAGGTGAAACCAATAGATAGGGAATGACTGAAGATTAATGAGAGTGAGGATGATTGTTGTTGGGGGGGGGAGCAATCTTCTGAAGATGACCAGATACAGGATTAAAAGTGAATGTAGAAGTAAGAAGGAGGGTCACCTCATATGATACAAGATGAAGGAAGAGACAGTGGGGAAAGACATCTACATGATGTGAGATGAGAAGCAATTGCTATGGCAATTGACAAAAATGTATAATTTCAATTAAAAGTTAGTGAAAATATGGGGCAGTTAGGTAGCACAGTGGATACAGCACCAGTCCTGGAATTAGGAGGACACAAGTTCAAATCTGGCCTCAGACACTTGACACTTACTAGCTATGTGACCCTGGGCAAATCATTTAACCCCACTGCCTAGCAAAAAAAAAAAAAACAAAAACAAAAAAAGAAGTTAATGAAAATAAAGATGAAATTATTTTTCCTATCCAAGTTCACAGACCCCCCCCCCCAAATCTATTCATAAATGGGATCTGTGGACTGCAGGTTATAAACTCTTGCACTAACATATCTGAGTAATAAGGATACTATAGGATCTTTTGACCACCTAATTCCTAATTCTCTGTGTATTTCTTGCAAATACTCATCTACTCTAGCTTTCTTCCTTTGAAGTGATTTTGTTTATGTATTTGCTGAGAGAAACAAAAAGGTTCTATGAAGAAAAGAAAAAAACAATAAAGCCAAGAAGACTAAATAAAACCTTTCAGTCAGATGCAACAATATCAATTTTTATCTTTTAGCAGCTAGTCAACATTATTTAAATAGATACACTATAATTATGGAGAAACATTTCCTCAGCAGCAGAGGAACAGATTCAAAAGGTCCAGAATAAAGATAAAATTCATGTGGTCAACTTCTAGTAATTATTTTATGAATTCAAAACAAAACAAAATAGCCTGACTTTTCTCTGTATTTTCATTAACTCCCTATTTTGCTTCCAGTCTATGTATATAAATAGTGATACTCCAAGTAAATAGAATGAGCATTTATTCTTTCTTTTTTGCTTGTATTCATATTCCGGCACTTATCACAGGACTTCACATAGTAAGACCTTAATAAATGTTTTATCTATCTATAACTATATGTGTGTGTACATACATGTACATAAGTACCTACATATACACATACATAGGTACATGCATCATGCATCACACACACACACACACACCCCTTTCTTTAAGCAGCTTGACAGCAATGGTTTCCTAGGATAGATTACTCTTTGACCAAACCCCAAGTCAGCCTCCATGATTTGGGACATAGGTGCTATTCCCCACAGGCTCCAGCCCGTACAATCTACCCTTTTGGAGTATACATGTAATAGTTTTGTTATCCTGGTCCATTCGAAGATGAGTTTTATCTTGAATGTACAAATATCCCCCAATGACAGGTAGTACTTATCTAAATTGAGAAAAAAATGTAACCCAGTAACCCTGAATTACAATGCTCCTTCACAAACTATATCCAACCTGTTGACGTCTGCATTGTTTGGTGCAAATTATGTGGCAACTGAAGAGTGAAGAGGGGGCCCGGGTGGCTATTTCTGAAGAAACCTTCTGTTGCCTTAGACTGCATCACCTTTGTCTCCCACAGCTATGAGAGGGGGAAAAATTTTCTTTTAAAAAATAAAAAGAGTTGTGATATCTGTTTCAACTGAAAATTAGCTTTTTAAATATATTTTGTCAAGTGTTAGCAAAATGAATAGCTATATCTAAGTGGTAATTTTAAATAATAAATAATAATTACAATGCAGAGCACTGAGTTGGTTATCAGTTTTCTAGACTAAGAAACTCTAGGTGGGAAAAATCCTTTTTTTTTTACTGCTACAAACCTGCTTTAAGTCTTTTAGAACTTGTTCTTCTATCCCTTCTTCTGTAAATAGCTCACGGACCCCTTCAATCACATCTTCAATGACAGATCTGTAGAGCTTGGGCTGAATAAAAACAATTGTTAGGATTTTTAATTCTCAGGTTTGAATTTATTTAGCTTTAATAAAGTACACACAACTTCAGCCTGTCTCATAGCTTAAACATGAGATAAAGAAGCCCACAAAATGATTTTTACTAAGCTCTCTCCTCACCCTAAACAATACCATGAGCCTGACACAAATTGCCCCTGCCTCAAGAGAGACATACAGTCATTCGGCTATCTGCAAGGCCTAGTTGGAAGACTTCACTGAAGCATGGTGCAATAATCCCGTGGAGTTGTACTGGTATTGTTGCCATCAGCATGCACGAAATATTTAACCTCCCTATTCCTACAGAGTGAGGAATGAATTTTAGGTGATCTAGAAATAAACCTATTTAATGGCTCACTTCTCAAAAAGGCAAATAGAATTTTCTTAAATTTTATAAGACATTAACTATACTGTTCCCACCATTGGATTTTTATCACACACAAGCTAGAAAGGCAAAACAAACATCTATTACAGGTTAATGCCAGGGTCAGTATCCTATACCAAAGCACACATAAGACCCAAAATTCTGAACCACTACAAATTAGACTAAAGTGGCAATGACAACAAACATTTATATGGTACTTTAAGGTTTTCAAAGCATCTTCCTCATAAACAACTCCCTGATGGTAAGGAGGAAACAGTCCCAGTGATCAATTTTATCATCAAGGGGAAACTCCTTGGTGTAGAAACTGGAAAACTCTCTTCAACACAGATTAGAAATTTCTCTGAAATGTCTGGTCCTTTGGAGTTACTTGTTGTACAGGTCAAATGACTTGCCCATGTTCACACAACCAGTATGAGTCAGAAACAGGCCTTAAACACAGGTCTTGTAAACTCCAAAGCTGGAGTTTTTCCTCCATGTTCCTCATTCTATGGATGAGAAAACTAAGGCTCTAGAGGGTATCTAAGATCACACAACTGGTTTCTGATTTCAACCCAGGTCTGCTGACTCCATCACTCAACTTATCAAAACTTCTTTCTTGATAAATAAAGCTAAGAAACCTAACAAACCCATTCTAAAAAATTTGATAGTTTTTTTTAAAGTCATAATATGAATTTTATGTGAACCACTAAGGACAGATTAAACCATGTTGCTCAATGGGCAAAAATAAACACTAAATCCAGTATTTTAAAAGTCTGGCTTTCAGAACAATAGAAGTTGCACTCCTCACCTATAACCAGAAGGTGCTAATTACTGGCCAACTCTGGGTGCCACTAATCACTCACTGACAAGATGGGAAGTATCATTTTAAGTTACTTAACAATCCAACCAAAATATAAAACTCTCTAACAGCCTTTACCCTACTCCAGAAACACCCTCATATACTCCTACAGAATTTTCAATCCTAAATACTATAGTACCTAGGATGTTTAAAAAGTAATACTTATACAGTACGTACAAGACTATGAACAACAACAACCAAACTTCCCCTCCAGAAAGATTTACTAAGAAATAAAACAGATAAAGACTTCCTAGTTAGACCCATCTAAATTGACTACATTTAAGACCAGGAAGGCCCTTAGAACCAAAATACCTTCAAACTTTCCCCTAAGGTTCTGAGGCAATAGTGGCTAGAAAAAAAATCAGTTAGAATATAATTCTGACCTAATTCAGAATATTTACTGAGCAGAGCCCTTCCTTCTAGGACTCTTAAGAAAAAACTTACATTGACTTCACTATCCAATACCTTTATTAGAACCAGACGTGGAGAGAGAGCATAATCAGCTGATGACTATTTCCCTCCCAGAAACAATAACCTATTAGAATTAATCACTTTAAAAAAGCAGAATAGATGGTATACTTATATTTTCATCCATAAACACTTAACACAAATTACAATAAATACATGAGCCATACTTGAAATACGCACTGAAATATGTATTTAACAACTCATTACTCTTTAAACCTTTAAAATTTAAACTGCCTTAACAACCTATTTCTCTTTAAATTAACTCATTATTTGTAAACCAAGGGGTACTGTGGAAAGAGTTCTTGAGTTCTGGACCTGGGTTTAAATCCTATCTCTGACAATTACCAATTTGTGTGACCACCAACAAGTCACTCAACCTGCCTGGATATATTTCCTCATCTGTAAAATGAAGGAGTTGGGCTAAATGGCACTGGGCAAGTCACTTAACTGTCTGCCTCAGTTTCTTCATCTGTAAAACAGGGGTAATAATACCACCTACCCCTCAGGGTTATTGTGAGGATCCAATGACATTCTTTATAAAATGCTTTGCAAACCTTAAAGATCTTTATAAATTCTACTATTACACCCCCTTATCCATTATTTACTCAAATTCCCCCATGCTCAGAAATTAAAGATACCAACCAACCACACTTTTGGGGTTGGGAGGCGGGGGTATAAGAAAGCAATCTGTAACCAAATAGCCACATTCCAACAAAAACGAGCAGAGAACATCAAGATCCCAGATGTGCAAACTAAGAATGGAAAAATTACAGCACGACTATCCAAGCTATAAGTAGAGATGAAAGGGCTTACATTTTGATTCTACAGAACATTCTTCCCAATCCTGCAAGTTAATACCTTAACAACAGCTCAATCACCTGCACTCCCTAAAGAGTAATTACTCTCTCCAGTATCCCAATGTTCATAGACCCTCAGAGGTGGAAGGGGGTTCAAAGATCGCCCGGTCTGACAAATGCCTCGACAGGAATCCCTCCTGCTTCGTGATGGGAACAGAAACACGAATGGATTTGTAACCCGAGAACCTAAATTCAAATCCCAGCTGCGCCACTAGCAGCTGGTGGGACCCCGGCCGGCTCACTTAATTTCTCTCTTTCCTGTCCAAAATAAGAGGCTGGACCAGGTGGCCCGGGGGGGTGGGGGGGATCAGCCCACCTGCGCTCGATGGCTCCAGTGGTGGGGGAGCCCATTACCTCTATTCCGCTTTTCCGAGGCAGTGCGTCCAAATGTTATTTGACATCAAGCTAAAATCTGACTTGCAACAAAATTCGCCCAGAGGACCGCCCCCCTCATCCTTTGGAGCCAAGCAGAACAAGGGCCACAGCTAACTGTGTGACCTTGGACAAGTCACGGGAAGTGGGGGGCTCAGTTTCCTCCACTGTAAAATGTAGGGGTTGGAATAAGAGGCCCACTTCCAGCTCTACAGCCCGTCTCCACCGGAGGTTATGTGTCTTGGAGTTAGGGCAAGGCCACCTCAGGAGGGCCCGGGGCCAGCCCAGCCCCCGGGCAAGGCCCGCCAGGCCGGGGCGGGGTCCCCGGCTCAGGAGACGCGGGGCAGCCCCGGTGCCTGGGCCCTGGAGGAGGCGGCGATGCCCCTGCCCCCGCCTCCCGTCGGGCCCCAAAGAGGGGGCGGCTGGGGGTGGGGCGGACCCCGCCGTTGGTTTTGAACGTGGAGGGGGCGGATGGGGGCCGGCGGGGGCGTCGAGGGTACCGAGGAGGAGGAGGAGGAAGGCCAGGGCGGTCCGGGCCGCAGCGGCCTCGGACCCAACCTTACCACGGGGTTGGCGTAGGCCATGACAGCGGCTCCTCTCGCAGCCCAGCCCCGCCCCGCGGGCCTCTCCGGCTTATAACGCCCGCCGCCCGCCCCCTCCCCCTCCCCCCGCGCAGCCGCCGCCGCCCTAACCGTGACCCAGCCGGGCCGGGTTACCTAAGGGGGGAGGGGAGGTAGAGGAGCACGGGGGGGGGGAGGGGGCACCCCGCGGGAGGTGTGGGGGGAGGGGGGCTAAAAGGATGGAGGACGTTAACCAGGGGAGGCCTGGAGGAGACCGGGAGGGGCAGCTTCCGGAGACCCGAGGCAGGGACGAGGCCGGAGGAGCCAGGAACCGCTTTTCTGTCGTCCAGCTGAAAAGGATTTCGAGGCCTATCCGGTCCTGACGCCCTTTTTTTTTTTTTTAAATTGATGAGGAAACTGAGGTCAAGGGGGTAATATCTATTAATGTAGATAGAAGGTGTCATAGTCATCATTTGTACCCAGGTCCCCCGAGTGCAAAGCCCAACTGTTCGGTTTCCCTTGTGCTCTAGGGCCTTACTGCTCGATTTCAAATCCGGAGTTTTCCTGCTTTGCCCGGGATGGATGGAGGGCTTGATTACTAGCCTCGCAAAAGCCCCACCCCCAGCCCCATGTGCGGAGGGTCGTGGTCCGGGTCAAGGTCGCTGGAACAGCGAGCTTTAAGTAAGCATTAAGAGCCTACTGTGTGGCAGGCAGCGTGCTCAGTGATGAGTCAACAAGGAAAGGCAAAACACTGTCCCGATCTCAAGGAGTTTACACTCTAATGAGGGAGCCAACCTTTAAACAGCTATGTATAAACGTGATGGCGTGTATGTGTGTGTGTATACATATACGTACCTATACATGCACACATACACACATACACACATATGGTAAATTGGACATACTCTCAGAGGATTCTAAAATCAAGGAGCATAGAGTAAAGGCTTCCTGCAGAAAGTAGGACTTTAGCTGATACATAAAGGAAGCCAGGGGGAGGAGGTGAGATGAAGTTCCAGGTATAGGGGACAACCAAGAAAATCCACGCATGCAGTCAACAAGTATTTATTAAGCACCTACTGTATTCCAGGCATTGTGCTAAGTTTGGGGGATACAAAGAAATGCAGAAGTCACTCCCTGCTCTCAAGTAGCTGACAATCCAATGGTGGAGACAACATGCAAATAAATATATACAAATAAGATAAACACGGGATATATTGGAGATAATCAACAGCAAAAAAGCCCTAGTCTTCAGGGGAATCTGAAGAGGCTTTGCCTAGGAGGTAGGATTCAAGAGGAGTTTTGAAGGAAGCCAGGAGGCTGGATTTCAACTCAAGTCTTCCAGACTCAAGGCCCAGTTCTCTATCTACTGCCCCACCCAGTTGCCCATAGGCTCAGAACTGAGCCAAGTAGACACAAAATCCTAATAAACTATGTGCCTTTAATCATTTCAAGAAAGTCACCATCAACATTCTGGTAACCCAAGTAGAATGTATTTACCATACATGGTTCCAGAGTATTAGCCTTCAGGAAACATTCAGATATATAAGAGGAGGCATTCATTTGTGATTTACCATCCCCAAAAAATCACCAAAGAAGCAAATAACCAGTATTTGTTGAGTGTAGACTATGGGCTAGTACTTCCTTCTTACATTACTTTACGCTATTGGCAAAGCTGACTAATCTCATAGTTGGTCCCAGGCACCAGAAGCATGTGTTAGAAAATGAGACCAAAATAGTCACTACTCATGAAATAGCCTCTATGGCATAGTTGAGGTACCTCTAAGCAACCATGAACCAAGAGAAATTCAATTATCCTTTCCCTTAGCTCAGATTAGAAGCAGGTATATGCTTAATTTACAAACTATGAAATGGATACTTGACTTGCAATGATGTGATGACTTGCATAATATGCTAGTCATTATATATTGCTTGCTAATTCCTTATGCAAAAGGCCAATAAGATATGGTCCTGACTCTCAAGGATCTGACAATCTAGTTTGAGAGATAAGATTGACACACTTGAAACAACTGGCAATAAATCAAAGCATTTGGTATAGACTCTTAAGAAGAGCTTAAAGTAAGTGGGGTTGATCCTTGGAAGAATGAGCTGTGGAGGGGAGGGGGGCGGAGCCAAGATGGCAGAATAAAAGCAATGACTTGCTTGAGTTCTTCCCCAAACCCCTCCAAATACTTGTAAACAAATTCTAAAGCAGCAGAACCCACAAAAAAGACAGAGTGAAACAAATTTCCAGGCTGAGACAACCTGGATGGTTGATCAGAAAGGTATATCGAGCTGGGCTGGGAGAGGAACGCAGTTCAGCGTGGGCATGCAGGCCTCAGAGGACTGAATCACGAGGAGCTGTGGTGGTTTCCAGACTTCTCAACCCATGAACACCAAAGACAACTTAGAAGGTCTGTAGGAAAAGTCTGTGTCTGCAGTGAGAGACAACCTTGGTGTGGTCCCAGTTCCAGTCCCAGAGCGTGGCCCTGGGGCAGCAGCTGCTTCAGGAGCTTCCCACCCACAGACTAAGGGGGAATCGAGTGATTGATCAGAGGGGGATTGCAGGGATCTCTTTGCTGGTGCAGGATTTTCTTGTTTTGCCCGTGCTTGGATCTGGGTCACAGTTCTGGGTGGCAGTCCTGGGGCAATGAGGAGAGCTGGCATGGTGGAGCTTGAACTGGCGGTGGAGAGGAAATCCTCCTCACAGTTCCAAGACAGAAAAGAGTGCTTGTGGTCACTCATAGACCAGAGCACAGGCCAGGAAAGGAGTAAATACATCGTCCTTGATCATAGCACCTTGGAAGAACTGAAAATTTACAGGTCCCTAGAACTATCTCTGAAAACAGCTGCACAAAACCCCTGAAGCTTGGGACAGTACATTCTCCACACCGGAAGCAGACTCCTACCTTAACAGAGTTTATAACTCAAGTAATTGGCTGGGATCGTGAGCAAACTTCACAAAAAAAGTCAGATCATAAAATCTTTTTTTGGTGACAGAGAAGATCAAAACATACAACCAGAAGAAGACAACAAAGTCAAAGCTCCTACATCCAAAGCCTCCAAGAAAAATATGAATCAGTCCCGGGTCATGGAAGAGCTCAAAAAGGATTTTGAGAAGCAAGTAAGAGAAGTAGAGGAAAAACTGAGAGTGATGCAAGAAAATTATGAAAAACAAGTCAACAGCTTCCTAAAGGAGACCCAAAAAAATACTGAAGAAAATAACACCTTAAAAAATAACCTAACTCAAATGGCAGAAGAGGTCCAAAAAGCCAATGAGGAGAAAAATGCCTTAAACAGCAAAATTGACCAAATGGAAAAGGAAGTCCAAAAGCTTACTGAAGAAAACACTTCCTTAAAAATTAGAATGGAGCAATTGGAAGCTAGTGACTTTATGAGAAATCAAGACACTGTAAAACATCCAAAAGAATGAAAAAATAGAAAACAATGTGAAATATCTTATTGGAAAAACAACTGACTGGGGCAGCTAGGTGGCGCGGTGGATAGAACACCAGCCCTTAAGTCAGGAAGACCTGAGTTCAAATCTGGCCTCAGACCAAACACTTGTTACTTACTAGCTGTGTGACCATAGGCAAGTCACTTAACCCCAATTGCCTAAAAAAAAGAAAAAAGAAAAACAACTGACCTGGAAAATAGATCCAGGAGAGAGAATTTAAAAATTATTGGACTATCTGAAAGCCATGATCAAAAAAAGAGCCTGGACATCATCTTTCAAGAAATTATCAGGGAAAACTGCCCTGATATTTTAGAACCAGAGGGCAAAATAGAAATGGAAAGAATCCACCAATCACTTCCTGAAAGAGATCCCCAAAGGAAAACTCCTAGGAATATTGTAGCCAAATTCCAAACTTCCCAGGTCAAAGAGAAAATATTGCAAGCAGCCAGAAAGAAACAATTCAAGTATTGTGGAAACACAATCAGAATAACACAAGATTTAGCAGCTTCTACATTAAGGGACCATGGGGACTGGAATATAGTATTCTGGAGGGCAAAGGAGATAGGATTACAACCAAGTATCACCTACCCAGCAAAACTGAGCATAATCCTTCAGGAGAAAAAAAATGGACATTCAGTGAAATAGAGGACTTTCAAGTATTCTTGATGAAAAGACCAGAGCTGAATAGAAAATTTGACTTCCAGATGCAAGATTCAAGAGAAACATGAAGAGGTAAACAGGAAAGAGAAATCATAAGAGACTTACTAAGATTGAACTGTTTACATTCTGCATGGAAAGATGATATTTGTAATTCATGAGTCCTTTGTCAGTATTAGAGTAGTTTGGGGGAAAAGTTATATGTATGTAGATAGAGAGAGAGAGAGAGATGGCACAGGGTGAGTTGAAGATGAAGGGATGATATCTGGAGAATAAAATTAAGGGGTGAAAGAGGATTATACAGAGAGAAGGAGAAAGGGAGAGGTAGAATGGGGTAAATTATCTCACATAAAACAGACAAGAAAAGGCTTTTACAGTGGAGGGGAAATGTGGGAAGGTGAGAGGGAATGAGTGAATCTTATTCTTATAGGATTTGGCTTAAGGAGGGAATGACATACACACTCAATTGAGTATGGAAAGCTATCTTACCCTACAGGAAAATAGGGGGGGAGGGGGACAAGAGAGCAGATGGATTATAGAGGGGAGGGCAGATTGGGGAAGGGGATAATCAGAAGCAAACACTTCTAAGGAGGGACAGGGTCAAAAGAGAGAATAGAATAAATGGGGGGGTGGCATAGGATTAAGGGAAATATACTTAGTTTTTCACAACATGACTACTGTGGAAGTGTTTTGCATGACTACACATGTATAACCTGTATCGAGTTGCTTGCCTTCTCAATGAGGGTGAGTGGGGAGGGAGGAAGGGACAAAACTTGGAACCCAAAGTTTTAAATACAAAAATATTTTTTAAAAAATTGTTTTCACATGCAACTGGAAAATAAGACATACAGGAAATGGGGTATAGAAATCTATCCTGCCCTACAGGAAAATTGAAGGGGAATGGGATAAGAGAAGGGGGGGAGAGATAGAAGGGAGGGCAGATTA